GCCATAAAAAAGCATGTTAGGACTCTGGAAAAAATCTCCTAAAGGAGGAAGGGTCAGAGATCCATCAAATGATGAATTTAATTGATGAGTGGGTGGGAATCATTGTTTGTTGCTCCCTCAAGTGTTTAGAGCCAGCAGGTATGAAATAAAGCTAATCAGGTACACATTCATAATTAACAAAAGGAGACAGTTCTTCACCTGACAAGGTGTAGAAGTCCTTGTTCCTGGGTGATCTACATGTTAAAGTTATGCATGAGTTGAAAGGGAGTCTGGACAAATTCACATATAAAAATCTGTTGTTGGTAACTAAGGGTGCAGAACTGACATTCAGCTTAGGGAACTCCCGATCACAATATAAAGTCCTGGGGAAATAAGATCTTTACTTGGCCTTTGGTCCATACTAAGAGCCCACATTCAATTACAAGATACAGGACTAGAAATGGTATTGATGGTTTGATCCACAGAGGCTGCTTTTATCTTCATATATTCTATATTTTTATTCTGACTCAAGTCTATTAATGAATTTTAGCCAGCTGACAAGCCCTTACTTACAGGCACAGGCTCAGGCACATGCTGGGATTCTGGGGCTTGTCCTGGGCAGGGCCAGGAGAGGGACTCGAAGATCCTTGGGGGGTTCATTCCACATCAGGATATTCTGTGATTATATGCACTTCCCTTCTTAGCTAGGTTGTTGGGTTCTTTGGGGGTTTTTGCAGGGGGGTCAGATCAAAGGAAACATCTCCTGATGTTTGAGCTTTTTGAATTACTGTATTAAATACATCACTTTGCTTGTTTAATAGTGTAGATGACAGCTCAGGGCTTACTGTCTGCATGATATAGTTTAGCTGGTCTAGTTAGTCCTGTTGGAACAACTGCCTGAAACAATAATACAGAAATTCAGAGGGCAGTAACATATGTAGACCTCACAATAGGTGAGCTAAGGAAATTTTTAATTTATCTAAGTAGTTTTTTTCCAGAGTTATAATGTTACTATTCAGACCCATTTAAACTATGATTTTAGTATCTCTCTGTTCCCTTTCTCCTTACCATCATATGAATAAAATTTTACATCTACCCTGCAACTGTTTCCATGAGACTATATTCCTTACAGAATAAGCCACAATGCTGGAAGTAGGGAGGTTTTTGAATTCTCATTTCATCTTTGTGACTGATTCACATGACCTTCAACAAATCATGTAAGTATCTGTGCTGTCTCTAAGTTGAAGATAACAGCAGCCTTATAGGAATGCTTTAAAGTAAACTATGTAAAATTTTAGGAAGATTTAAATTGTGATTTACTAGTATTTTTGAAATACTGCTTTAGGGATGGAAAAGCATACTAATGAACCTTGAGTGCATAGAACAAGCTATGTTCTGTGTCTGGCTCAAAGTGGTCTGTCGTATGAATTAGAATGTGCAGGATGCAAGTGGAGTCTATGTGCAGATGGGGTTTACTCATTCTCCGTATTTCTCATGGTGCCTCATGAGGAACAAATGTCTGCCTGAGTTCAGTGAGAAAGCCTGTTCTAGGACTTCTGCAGAACTCAATAGGCTAACATTGTTTATTTTATACACATAACAATTGTAACTGGAAGTCTGCCAAGGAGTGTCAGGCCCCTCTAACCTACCAGGCTGACAGGTGATGCTGTGGTGCAGTTCCCCTAAATGTGACTGTGAGAATGCTCTGAGTTACTTCTCTGCAGAAACTGCAGTGCATCCAGAAGGAAGTTCTGTGCTCAGGTATTGTTCAGGCAGACATTTGAGATGTTGCCAAGTTATGCAGTGAAATCTGGGATAAAATACAGAGAAGCTCTGTATTTTTACAGGTCAGACATACACTGAAAAGGCATAAATAGCAGATGATCCAAACAGTCCCTGCCCTAAAGAGCTTCTGGGTGTTGTAAGTTGAATGGAGACAAGGCATTGCTCTGAGATAGGCAAAAGCTATTTCCTTTTATTACGTGGTTCTTTTTTCCTTAGAGATATTTTCCTTGGAAGTCTAAACTCTAAGAACTTGTGTTGTAAAATGGGGATTTTTTCACTTTCTAGTAATGAAGTCACACATATTTATAGCATTATCATGTAAGAATCCCAAGTAGCAATTACTAATTAGAGAGAGGGGGAAGATACTCCTCATTTTACTGAGGAAATGGAGCCGTGATGAATTAAAGAGACTTTCCCTGACTCACAAGAAACTTAATGTGGAGCTAAAAATTGAGCCCAGACCTCCTGAAATTCAGTTCACTGTTACAGTCATATGGCCATCCTTTTCCAAGCATCAAATATGTACACAAGGCTCTCTAGTTTAGTCTTCACATTAGTTTCCAATGAAACTTTGCCCTTTCACTCATTTTAGCAAAAGGCAAACATTTGCCCATTTGTCTCAATAGTAAGTAGAAACTGCTCTCTATACAGATGACAATTTCCTCTCCATTCACATGCTTCTCATCCTAGTATTAAAGCCAGCCTGTGTCAGCAAGGGCCCGTTTAAATTAGAAACCAAATAATATTTCAGGGATGCCTTGGGCTTTCTTGTGGGAGGGTTCTTTGCAACCCTTGCCAGTTACTACTTGGTGGTCCTGCCAATCCTTGCTAAGTTTCAAAACAGAAGTTGCTCAAGCTGGAGCAGCGCTGCCTGCCCGGCATACGCAGCTGGACAGCTGGAGAGCCGGGACCCAGCAAGGCCTGCTGCTCAACCAGGCACAGTTCACCAGACCTTGTAAAGGGACAGGGGAGTGGCACTGTCCTAATTGTTAACATTCCTCCTCTGCAAGGCTTCTCCTGATACTCATTTAATAAGCCTAGGCTCATAAAGTCTAAACAATTTAGGCAATCAAGTGGTAGCTGATGTGTACGTGGAGATAGAGATGCAGCCAAAGTGAAGAGTGAAATGCCTCATTTCTGACTTTGCCAAGCCTTATCTGGCAGCTGCAGATGAAGTAATAGCTCAGGCAGCTGTACCCAAGAACAGAATTTATGTTGGGAGTACCTCAGGAGCTTCAGGCCAGGTTTGCACAGCCACAGCTCCTACTTGAGTGCACATGGCCCATCTGCCAGCGTGGTTCTTCTCACACAGTGAGTAATACTCATAAGCTCCAGTCTGAAAGCTCCTGCCAGTGGCAATAAAAATTAGGGATGTGGTATTGCTGTGTTCTCAGAGAGACAAAAGGCAGGTTCAGCAGAACTGACTGAAACATGCAGGTAACAGATGTTTGTAAATAGGCACACCTTCATATGTAGAAAGGAGTGAGTATCTAGAAACTGCTGTGTCTGGAGGTTTGTTATTTTCTGTGGAGCTGTTGCTGAGTATTTTAGCATGAAATGTGAAAAAGCATCATTGCCTTCATTAGCATTTCATTCAGAATTATTTTCAGCTCATAGTGGAGCAGGGAGATACAGTAACTAGATGTTAAACTTCCATTGATGGGATGAAGAGATCTGAGGTTCGGACTGGAAATGGGACTTGAGTGAACATGGGACAGGGAGGAAAAATGAAGTTTCATTAACCTGGGAAATGGGTTTTGTTAAAAAGAGAGAGTGCCACAATGTTTCTATAGTTTCTATAGTTTGAAAGTTTCTATGGTTTCTCAAGAAAAATAAAAGAAACATTGTTTCAGCTCATCTTTAAAATACACAAAGGAAAGGCAGTGCCAAAAAGGAGAGTATTTTTGCTGATTGTACTCTCAATGTTCTCTCATTAATGGTATTTTTCTTGTCTTTTACCATGTTTGAGTCAAAGAGATTCACTCCGCATAGTTTTAGAGTAACTTTGTTAATGTTTTTTTGATAACTTCTGCTTATCAGCCTAAGGCTTATTGGCCATAACTGCACTGTGAGCTGAGTAAATTGGTTGTTAGTGCATTTGCAAACAGTTCAGCCTGATTACATTCATCTAAGCACCAATTTTACAGCTGTGTCAGTGGGGCCATTAAAGGACTTGAGCAAGCAAGCAGGCAGGCACCCTGCACATACCTCTCTGAGCATCGTGATTTACTGCCTCTATCTGCTGCCTTTTACAGCTGTGTGCTGGCTAGTGTCCCTGTCTTGCTGCTTAGCTTTTTTCAGTCCTGTAATGCTGCATCCTTACTGTGGAATCTGTATCTGACTTCGCCACTGGAAAACGGCCTGTGGCTTTTCTAAAGTTCTTTTCCCATCTTCCTTGGGGTTACCTTGTGCTTAGAAAAACAAACTGCTAGGGGTCATAATAGGTGGACACAAATACTTTCTCTTAATCCACTTCTTTTTGACTACTCTGTGTTCTTTGACCATTTTCCAAAGTTTCTCTTGTGTTTTGTTTTGACTTAGCCTGATAGCTGAAAACTTTACTGTTAATTATTAGTTTTGACAGTTACGACATTGATATTCCACCCTCCCTTAGTATCCTCTGACCTGCAGGTATTAGAATGCACAAAGATATGCCCAAAATGTCACAAAGGAATGCACATCACATATAGCTACGAATTAGTTCAGATAAGCAGAGTACAGTATCTCAAGGAGACACAACAAGCATCACTGACTTGAATATCTGCAGTGAGAAACAGTTTTGGAGTAATTCCTGATTACGGAATCAGTACATTAAAACAATCTGGAATAATAACTTGCAATTTTTTGCTAAGCTGAGATTCACATGTAGATGGATTCATCTAATTAAATCAACAAATCATTGGCTATTGGGATGGAAGGATATGAAGTGCACAAGGAAGGCGGGAGGAAGACAGCTACAAGAGTTAAGTGTCTAAACAAGGATACTCTGAAAAGCATTTGGCTGTGGTGGGTCCTCTGGAGGCTGAGTAGTTGGTTCTTTTTTGCTTCAGAGCAAAAGGGAAAAGGGGCCATGTGGCATCCTGGTTGATAGCAGCTTATGTTATTTGACTTGTAAGAGATAATAGTTTCAGAACTCTGACATTGTTTCCTTCGTTTTCTCACTAATTAATATGTAAGCAGAATAAAAGTATCATTCTTAACTGTGGCTGAAGGTTGACATGTTAATATTTTTCCAGGTGGAACTTGCAGAAATTTGCACAAAGAGCGAACGTTACATTGGCACAGAAGGTGGAGGAATGGACCAGTCAATCTCTTTTCTGGCAGAAGAAGGAACTGTATGTAATCTAAGCTAACAATTTAGTATTAATTTATGTAAGCAAAAAAGTACCTTCATTAGTATCTAGAAGAAAGACAAGACTAGAAACTGGAATACCCTAATAAGCAGTTATAAGCACCATTGGTATACAAATGAATCAGGAATTAAACTTACAAACTTGGGTACAATCGAGCATGACAAGTTTGAATGGATATGATGAGGAAAATCAGAAATGGCAAGGAGGAAGGAAAAGATGTGGGAGTAAGATGTACTCTAGAAGAGCACCAGGTTCCAGTATTTGGCTAATTCATGCTGAACTTAGAATGTTTCCCATATAATGAAATCTGAATGGTCGGCATGCCTTGTATTCAGTGCAAATGGGATAATTATTACAAAAATGCTTTCTTGAAACTTCTTATAACCAAACAGTTCTAGGAAGTTTTGCCAGGTTCAGTTACAAAGACAATGGAGACTTTTTTTTTCACCAGTTTTGCTAATTCCAGACAATTCTGTGGCTGGATTTTGATGTAGAAGGCATTTAGCAGTCTTAAACGTGGTGACAGAAGGTGAACTAGCTGTGATAAACAGGACCTGCCAAGTTATGCATGAGTGCTTGCAGTGGAATTTACAGTGAGCTTCATCTGCTGTCCCAGAAGGTGCACAGGACTGCAACTGTTCAAACCTCAGACCTGTCAAAGTACTTTTATTGGAATTAATGTAGTGTTTCATAACAACCTTTACTTTCCTTATGATTGTGGCATTATATCTCTACAGCTTTTGTTCCTAATGACATGTCTTGGACTGCCTTACACAGAAAAAAACCTATTTCCTAGAATTACACCAAACATTTAATGCCATCATGAGACACATGTATTTTCAATTTCACATCACTGTACCTACTCTACACCTTTCCTTCATGTTTTTACCTTTAGTAGTAAAAACACAGTGACATGAATAATGAAAGAAGGAAGCAGCAGATTTTCCTGCCATACACAGACATGATTATGTAAGTGGAAGCTTTTCTGATATATAGCAGTGGTGACCAAAAAGACAAAGAAAACGTTAGCACAGATGAGAAAAGAATTGTGAACAAACCAGAAAAATATCCTTGTTTCAGTGTACTTGCAGCTGAATGAAGCTTTAGCTGCCCATCTTAAAAAAAAGAGAAAAGTACAATAAAGGACACTGAGGTTTATCAAAGCTATTTTTTAAAATATGAGCATTGTCTGAACAATTTAAAACTTTTCAGCTTGGAAAAAAAGAAGAATTGAGGGTGATACTTTGAAGTTTGCAGATTCCCTAAACAAGTAAAGAGAAGGTAAATGGAGGATTCAATGTTTTTCATAACTGAAGAACTAATAGAAACACAATGACATTAGCAAGCAGCTTGTAAAAAACAAACAGGGAAGTTTGGGTTTTTTTTCCAAAACATTCATTGTTAAATTGAGAAATACCATACATTGTGGAAGACAGAAGCTTTAAAAGGATTCAAAAAAGACCTTTGTGGATACACTAAGAGAGTGTTAAACTGTATGTAGCTATCTAATTTAATAGATGCTTCTTCCAGTGTAAGTATAACCATTGTAATCTTTGCTTATGGGAATCTGGAAAAACATACCCCTAGAAAAGATTGCTTTGTATATGTTCTATCTTTATATTCCCCCTAAATAGCCATTTATGGCTACTGTCAGAATCAGGACACTAGACCAGCTTAGTGGGACATTCTGGTCTAATGGAGCAGATCTTAAAGGGTATATTTAAATGTAAGCAAGTCTGTCTGTCTTGATAGGAATTCTGTGATGGGGTCCAGAATCTCAATGGCAGGGAGTAACACATATGCTGTACATAATGTACAAGCAGATTTGTCATTGTTTATTTAGCACTCTAGCTGCTCAAGGGACTCTCTGGGGGTGAACTATGCCAAAACCAGTAAGATGTCCCTGCTTGCACAGTTACAGTCTATTCTAAGAAGCCAAAACAGGGCACATGATTTACAACTTACCCCAGTGAAAAACCAGATGTGAATTTAATCTCTTGATTACATTACATCCTGAATTATTTAATTAATGGATGCCTAACTTATTCCATGAAAAGGTCACAAATGTTGGGAACATCTTACACAGCTTGTGTAAGCATGTGTGAGGCAAGGCAGTCTCATGTCAGAAAGGAGGAAACAGTAACTACATTCTTACACTTAGTTTTATTTAGTTTCTTGGTTTGATTGTCTGTATGTACCATGATCACTGCCTCAAATCAGTCTGAAAATGTTGGTCCCATCCTGTACCTCGGTGTACTAATCTTGCTGCAGTGCAAAATGAGAAGACTGAGGGGGAGATGGACAGTGATGAAGGGGCAGGGAATGCAAAGCCCCTTGTTTCTAGGGGCATGCACATTAGCTTCAACCAGGCCTGGTACTTCTCTGCAGATCAAAGTGAATCTGTTGTCTTAAACAGGCAAGAAAAATAGGTTGGGTGGGGTTCTGTAAAATGCTGAAAAAACCCAAAGACTTAATGGAAACATTTTAAAATCCAGCTACAGGGAAGGGTTTGAAGTGTATGTGTAAGTTGACCAATGAGGTTAAATCTTTTCTCTTGCTGTTTCATGTCAGTTTTCTTTCCTTAACTGTGCCTGGATTTTCAAGAGAAAAAACATGCAAATTTGCATTTGATTTATAGAACTAAGTGCACTGTTAGCTAGTAGTAAATTAAAACTAACCATTCATTTTTCTTTCAATAGGCCAAGTTGATAGAGTTCAGTCCACTGAGGGCAACTGATGTTAGACTTCCAAGTGGAGCAACGTTTGTTATTGCTAACAGTTGTGTTGAAATGAATAAAGCAGCAACTTCTCATTACAATATTAGGGTAATGGAGTGTCGGCTGGCTACAAAGGTAACGCATGGCTTGTGTCAAACTCTAATGAAACATTCATCTAAATATGTGCTTTTTTCCACTTCTGACCATTTGTGTCTTTAACACCTGGCTAGGTGCTGCTCTTAGTATAATTTTTCTTTCCAGACACTTCAATCTGCAGGAACAGAACTCCTGCTGAGCTTAATGGAAGTGCAAGGACTGTGTCCTTATATAGAAGATTATGTGATTTAGTTCTATTAAATTTATTTTTATTGTATTTCAGTGGAGGAAATAAGTCTATTTTTCATTAAAAAATATTCCCAGTTAATAAGACAGACTGTTTCTAATTAAAGTTGAATAAGCTGAATAATGACAAATAATGGAAAGCCACCAGTATGGTCACATGTTTATATGTATATATGGCAATAGCTGTGTATTTTCTAGAATTTAGAGAGCATCCAAGCTAGTAGTTGAAGGCCTGGAAGTAATACTAGAAATGCTGAAGAGCAGCATGTGTCTCAGCATAAAGTTCAAAAACAGGCTTGAATGAAACCCCAACATTTAGGGTGTACTGCCAGTTTACAGCTTGAAATTCTCTCTAAAATGTATGGAAATTGAACAGGGGAAATCTAAGTTCTGCTTTAATTCTGGATTTTGTATGTTTAGGAGCATGTAGATGTAGGGTTTCATTTGAGTTCTTTATGGGAAGACAGTACATTTTTCTTTGATAAGAGTAAATGAGGAGTTAGCATAAAGATTCACTGCAGTTGCACCTAGCATAGGGTGCTGTGGGAAAGAACAGAATGTGGGTTACAAAGTCTAGTAGAAAGCTTTGAAAAATGCAGTGTGGAACTCCTTGCCACAGAATATCAGACCAATATCTGATCAATATTCAAAAGTACTTTGAACATCCATTGGCATCATGATTCCATTAAAAAATAATTTTTTACAATTTTTAGTTAGTGCTAAAAAAGTAGTTGAAGATCTGATCAGACATTGACAAAATGCATTATAAAATAATGTGCTGAGATTTTTTTGAGGAGGGAAGCTAGACTTCAGATGACTTTTTAAATGGGCTTTAAACTCAAATATCAAAGGAATAGTTGCATTTCAGTTGTATCTAAGATATGGTAAAGCAAATAGCACCAATGACCACAGTTAAAGATGTTGTCACTGAAGTTAACAAGATTTTTAAGCCATTAAGAAAATGAAGATAAGGACCTGTCTATTTGTTAGTTCTGTTATAACTGAATTGCTAATAGACAAAATATATGTTTTTAAGAGGAACGTCTTTTGTAAATTTTTTTTTTTTTGCATAAAGAATAGAAAGTCTTCACAGATAATCCATTCTAAAAGGCACTGTACAACAAGTGCATTAAGCTGTGAGAGCTTTTGAAGTTATTGTTCCATATACCAGACTTTGTGAATTGAATCACAGTTTTCTAAATTGCTTTAAATTATTAGTCCTGTACAGTATACTGAAGAGGTAGTAAGGAAACATCTTTTCTTTTACATTTCTGTTAGCTATGATGCAATCTCTAAAAATGGACTTTTAGCAGATGCTCGATCGTAAGGAGACTAACAACATACACCTGTCTGTTTTTAAACATATGCTACCCAGATGGAAAGCTGCACACACTATAAAAATACATTGAGCCAGGAAAAGACTGTCTTTAGGAAGAGGTCACAGTGGGGTGAAGGAGGGCAGGTATGTAAGTTGAAACAGGGAAGTCTCTTAAGTACCATTAAGCTAATGGAACTATGAACTAACATGCTGGGCCTTGCAATGATGCTTTAAAAGAAATTCTCATTCTAAGTGCCTTAGGATAGGCTTTTTTCTCCCTTTTCTGCTTTAGGTAATTCTAGAATTTCATACTGCTTTACTGCATAGGTAAAGATGCCAACACAACATATCCCTGCTAGCATTAGTGTAGAACATTTTGCTATCAGTCTGTCCCACAGCGAGTTCTTGATCATCCTGGTAAATTATCTTTCTTAGATTCTGTTTCTTTCCCTTCCCTGTAGAGAATCATTCTTTTGCCTTTCTCTTCCCTTCTCTCTGTTCTTGTAGCAGCCTCTGAGTGCTCTCCTGCACTCTGTCACAGTGAGTTTCCAGTTTAAAGCCGTTTCCTGTCCTCACTGCTCTGAGCTCCCCCCGGCTGGGCTGGTGAGAGCGGGGCTGGGGACACCGCTCCCCTGCTTCACCCTCAGCCTGGTGTGGGGCCAGCAGTGACTGCAGCTGCAGAGCCACCATCAGCTCCTGGGCACAGGGCTCAGATGGCATTATAGAAATGCTATGTGTAAGGAAGTGATGCTGCTATAAAAGTATTCCTGGACTTACTCTTAGTCAGACTTTCTTGTACTTATATTTGTCCCATCATTTACCAAGTATGTTTTCCTCTCAGTTACTCACAGTTTTCCAGTGTGCCTATGTAGAACAATAAAGAATAGTAAAGCCCAAAGATTCTATATCCTGGAAGTTAAGAGCTGCTTGATGTCCATATCTTTAATCAATCTAGTCAGAGATCATCGAGAAAATATCCGACTGTAGGAGAAGTATTGGGATTAGTTTTTGTACATTAAAGAGATGGGATTTTTTCCCCCCATTTCTGTTCCATGTCCATTACAATTCAAGCTGCTGCAGCTAAACTATTTTCAAAAACCATTTCTGTTTCCCCATAATATTTTCCCCAGTGCTGTTAGAATCAAAACTTTGCTCTAAGCAGGATAGACCTTTCTGCAAAGCCGTGCCTGCTGGCCCAACAGGGTCAGTTTCCATTTGGAACATTTGACCTGTAAAACCCCAGTGTAGTGGCTTGCCTGAAATACAGCCTCTTCCTTGAAGAAATGGGAACAGATGTGACAATGCACATGGCATATTTCTGCAGGGGATTATTTATTTAAAAAGAAAGTAGAAAAAATTTTGCTGCCTTATAGAATATTATTGTTTGTAAATTCTGTTTAACTTCTCATAATAAAGTCCAGAGGATGCTGAATATTGGGATTAAAGCATGAGGAAAATAATTTCCATTCATTTAGCACCTTGAAGAAGATGTGTATGCACCAGCATACAACATATTTAACTAAAATGAAGCAGTGATTTTTATTCTAACTTAGCAGTAAGTAAGCTAAAATACAAATTACATAAAGGCTGTAGAGTTCTAGGTATTCAGAGCCTTTAAAAAGGAGGCCAGAAGTGACTTAACCAGTCTTTTACAGAAAAAAATTGTCTCGCGCTGATTTCTGCATTAGGCACTAAACAGTTCTGCTGCTTTCTCTACCACTGAACATGTAAAATTGTGTTTTAAATGGCAACAAAGTTATATGATGAGGATTTTGTTTGTTTTGCTCTGCTGAGCCTCACATAAATCTCAGCAAGTCACTAGATGGCACCAAAAGTAGTTAATTTTTAGATACTGCAATAAAACCAATCTGGAAGAGCCCCTGCAAAAAAAGCGCCATTGGGGGAGAGCAAGAATCTACACCAGATAGCTGGGCAGCAGATCTGCTTAAATTTCATGCTGTAACTTTGCACAAAACAAAGCAAATACTTTTCAGATATGTATCAAGAGAAATTATTTCAAACCAATCTCATTCTGAACCGGTGCTTATGGAAAAGAATAAAACACATTGGGTGAAATCTTGGCCTTGTTCATAAAAGATTTGAATGCTGATTTGTTTAGAAAAAGGATTTAATTCCCTGGTCTTTCTATACTGTTTTAAACTCTTTCCAGACATACAGCTTGATTTGGAAGTTTTAAACTCAATTTAAATGGTGCAGCACTGGACATACACCATGTGCCTGTGAACCCAGTAAAATGACTTTGCTGTGTACCTGCTAATCTTTGTTTTACTTTGTAATCTGTTGAAATTACAGGTGCTAGGTCAATGACCACTGACTATTCTTCTGTAATTCATAACATCAAAATATTTCACCTTATGAGGAAAGCTGCTTTACCATTTTCATTAGACACATGGGAGCATCAACACATATTTCAGCCTTCCAGAGAAAAGCCTGTTGGACATTCTGTCTTTCAGGATTCTGGTGTGTTGTAGTAACGACTGTCAACTGCCAAAACATCACACAGATACACAAAGCATGGTGTCCTTGCCAGGAGTGGGGAAAGCAGATCCATCTATAACTAATAAATATCAGAGCAACCATGTAGGAATGGAACAGATTCAGACCAACACTGTACCACTCCTTTAAAGGCTCAGAAGTTCCTTAAATTTGATGTTAAAGAAAGTACTTAAATTTTACTTAAAACTCCAGAGATTGAGAAAGGTTATGGTTATTCTCCCCACAAATCTTATGACCACTTTCATATTTTTAAGGCTATTATGAGAAAAGTTTGTAATGACAACCTCAAATGTTCATCAGAAAATTCCAGGGGTGTATTGGAAATGTCAAACTGAAATGTTAGAGCAAATACTAATAGTATGGAAATAAACTTTTTAAGGACTTCTAGTGTTACAGCATCATAGCATTTGTATAAACAGTTGTCCAGATAGGATTGTAAAAGGCTGGTAAGTGCTTGAAGTAACAAAGTCCATGGAAGAGGATAAATCACTGATCTGATGTCACACAAATAATGCCAGTAGGGCTTTTACAGACAGTATCTGATTTGAGGGAAGAATACCTGTCATTCACAGACCTTTAATAATAAATATAAGTATTGTCTGCTCTTTACTGATAGAAAGTAGATTCTGATGGTTCTCAAATAAGAAGTGAAAAGAGAAAATGGGCCTTAAAGATACTTACGGACAACTAAAAGTTTTAAACAGGAAAGCACAATATTTTCTGTTTTCTTTTTTTTTTATTTTATATTTTAGCTTCTCTCAAAGTCAAAAGGCTTGGAGTGGAGAAAAATGTTGAGACTCCATGATGTGCAAACCAAGCTAGGAGTTAGCCTAGAGGAAATGCTGACCATTGTCGAGGAGGTATTACATCCTGAGCCTTACAGCGCAGAGGAAATTTGTAAATGCCTGGGAATTAGCCTGGAGGAGCTCCACTCTCAGATCCTTAGTCAAAACATGCAAGATGGTGAGCATATATGAAATGGTGGGGTTTACTGTACAATGTTTGTATTATTTAAAAGTTTTATGCATTAATAAGTAGTTCAAGTGGAAGTCTTGCCAGAACACTTGGCTGGAATCTTGGTTGGGAAGTGAAAGAATTGATACGATCATCAATTGCTATTTTCATTCTAACTTTTAACTTAAAATTGAGTAAACTTTGATTTTGATTGAACTGTTTCTAAAATGATGAAAATAGCAGATCACTTAACTGGTGTTCAAGACCAGCATAGATAGGCTTGTGCTTCTGTTCTTAACTGATAAATACATGATCACTTCCTAAAACAGTCCCTGGGCAGCAAGTCTCAGTCTTTCCTGAGAAAGTTTCTGTTACTATTACTACTTCTTTTTCTTCTAGGAAGATGTTGGTGGAGATGAACAATTTGCTATCTAAAGTGTTTCCCATGTATTATTGTTTAGGATTATACCAGGCAGTCATGAGCATTGTCACACATGAAATGAATCCTGGATTCATACAGTAGAGTTGCTAATAATACCAAATAATAGAGAATTTATGAAATAATTTGTTCGCATTCATAACAAGTTTCCAGTTGAGATCAGAATCTTCCTGTAAGAACTACACAGAATCCTTCTTCCTTGTTTCCATTCTGTAGCATTAATACCTGTATTCTCTTGGAGCCAAATTACATCCTTATCAGTCCTTTCCAAGACTACTTTCAGGAATGTGTACATTGGATGTATACAGATCTGTAACATACCTATCTATACTGACACTTAAATAATCTGTTCATCTGGAGTGACTGTAAATTTTATATATTAACCAAGGACCAGGTCCTGAATCTTCAACTTGTTTTGCACCCCAGTGGTATCAGACAGTATGAGATTATCTTATTGTCTAATTACACTGCCAGAAGATACCAGGATGGAATAAGATATCTTAAGCCAGCTCTTTATCTCCATAGAAAGAGTTTTGATAACTTTGTACTGTCTGTACATGAGGAATATATGAACCATGTACCTGCACTCTGCAGCATTTTCCTGGGAAGCTGCAAGGTTGTAAATCTTACACAGTCCATGCACTCTCCCCTTCATGAAGCAAGACTATTAACTTAGAGATGTTTATACTCCTTATATCTGGTTATAAAACAAAATTCTACAGTTCTGCAAAATTGAGTTGCTTATACAGGTTATCTTGATTTAAAAAAAAAAAAAAGTCTAGATGAAAAATTTAGACATAAAAGCCATAGAAAAAAGTCAAAGGAAATTTTATACTGTAGCTCTGAATACCATTTGCAGATGTTTGCTGAAAAGAATCTCTTAAACTTGCATGACCGTGATTTCATTTGATAAGACCAATTAAAAAGGATTATGCTGAAAGCCTTTTTGCATGTACAATATAAAATTAAATAACAGATTTCTGTAAAACATGCAGAAGAAACAAGACAGACCTAGAAAGAATCTAAATCTGCTGGGTTTGTTACACACTATACAGATTACACATTATGTTGGCTTTGGAATATCAGAGGCTGTTTGAAGAAAACATTTTTCTTACTTCACCTCCACTTTCCCACTCTATTTTAATGACAATGCTTGGCTTCTTCGTGTGAGATAGAAAACATACTGTTAAATAAGTAACCTCTTCAGAGGATTTCAGAGTGTCATTGAATTTCTTTGCTCAACACGAAGAACAAACCATAACATTTAGGAGATCTTTTCATGTCCAGGGATCGTTACAAATACAATACAAATAATGTATTGGCATTATGTCTCATGTTTAAGGATCTAAAAGTGCTCTGTACATACTAATTTAGCCTTAAGTCCAGCTTCCCCTCCTCTACTCCTCCAGTGACAGTACTGTATACTTACATAAAGTTTTATCAGTATGAAAGGGTGACATCTCAAAGGAACATTCTATGGACAGGCTTTGGTCAAGTCCCAGGCCAGGTCTGGAAGGCCACAGCAACTCTGCATCCCTTTTACAGCAAGTATTCAAGGATTTCTGCAGTTCCCCACTGTACAGCCCATTCGTTCCCCATGTTTGGAGAAGTACAGATGGTGTGTAAATCCTCTCTAAACTTCTTGCAGTTGTTCCTTGGTCAACTCAAAATCCTGAGTTTAAAGCTCCCTTGCAAATGTTTACACATGGATTGCACTTGTGGCTTCTGAACATCTCTAGAAAAATAATATTTATTACTTTCTAAGGTGCACTGTGCCATAATTTTGGCTTGGACTTGACTGCTTCACAGAACACATAATGTGTGGTGATTGTGGGACATTAAGTATTTATAAGCTTCGCCACAAAAGGATATTCTCCTGTAAAACACTGTATTCCTTTAACCATGAAATGTTTTTTCTTCTTAAATGAGGTATTTTTAAAACCCATTTTTCCTCTTCATATAAAAAAAAAAATAATCTAATTCTGACATTTAAACCAGAGAATGAAAACACCATGGGAGGAGTAGGCATCCATTTTCTGTGTGGATTTGGCTGTTTAACTCCTATTTGTCCCCTGGAAAGAGAATTCTAAATCTGTGCTGCAAATTCCACTGGTACTTGAACAGCCATTCATGGGTGTTGATGGTGACCTGAGTGCAGGAACAGTTTCCACACTCCCTGCACTGAGGGGTGTAGGTGAGGGGGTCTCGAGTGTTCTGTCAGGCAGCTCAGAGGCACAAAAAGCTCTCTCTGTGCATCAGATGTCCTGCATGACACCTCCAAACTGGCAGACTTCAGAGCACTTTCCAGTTTAAGGGTCCAGGTGCCTAGTTCAGCCTCACCCTGATCCATGTCATGGAGAAATTTTGGGACATACCACAGAAACTGAGATGTGGCTGCTCCAGGCAGATGCCATACCTAAAAGATGGAGGCTTTTGGGGTGTGCCACAGGTTAGGCACAGGCACTGAATAGTCCAGATTAATTGCAAAAGCCTGTAAAGCCGTCATTCCTCTGGAGGAAAAATCACTTTAAACCAGTAGTTATCATAATCTCAAAACAGGTGTCTGCTAAATGTGTCACCGAATCCAGTGATGACTCGTCCCCTGGTTTATTTTCAGAAAGCTGGATTGCAAACAGTTACTTGAGCAGTCCCAGTAGAGTAACTGTTCCCCACTTCAAGTAGGGGGTTCACAATCTGGCTCAAATTAAAGCCATCTGGCAGCATTTTCTTATATACATTATGAGCCAGAAACCTTCACCCTCATCATGTTCAATCAGCAGGATGCCTAACAGAGAAGGGTACAATTCCACGTGAGTAATGGTGCTAGAAACTGTCCCCTACGCAACTGCGTGTCCGTGAGTTTTTCCGGTTGTAAATTTCTGACAGTCCCATCAGCCATGTGTAGCTCATTAATCTCCAGTGAAATGTATCTTTAGAAGCTGCCAAAGCAAGTAGAAAAAAATATATTGCCTGGAGAGGTTGGTCTTTAGCTAAAGGTCAGATAGAATTGTACAGGAAGCCTCTAAAGAAAGGAATCTGCTGAAGTTGAAGTTGTAACAAATAATAGGAGTTGCTGAGAAGCCACAACATTTACTTATACAGAAAAAAAATTCCTTTAAATGGACTGGACAGGTTTGCACAATTTTTGTAAAGCTAAAATTAAAAATATGACCATACAGTTGAAAATCCACAGTAAACATTTCTGTTATATTTAGTTAACACACAATTACTTGGGTCTAATAGCCCAGATTTTTGTCTGTTAAGGGATTTTATATGGATTTTGGACAAGCTTTCATTAACATTCGTCTGCTGGGTCACAGCAACTTGGAAGGCTCTTGCTGCAGTGCTATCTATTAGTGCCCTGGAAAATGGCACCATTCTTTCAAGGGCATTTGGTGGTTTGAAAGTGAACTCAATTTACCTGTTCATGGGTGACCTGACAGAAATCCTCTGCAGGAGCAAAGCTCAGAGAACTCGGAAGTTGAAGTGGAAGAAGAAACCAGGCCTTTATTATAGCTGAGTGGATTAGGAAAGTATATTTACATTTTTGGTCTAATTAATTACTTAATTCCATTATAGTAGCCTTAAGGATCCACATGCTTTTAAGAATCTGGCATTTGTTCCCTAACCCTACTTTTTATGCTCTCCTTTGAGCACCACAGAAGGTGAGACCATATAACCCAGTTCTGTGCAATCCTGCAAGGGTTTCTTTGAGGGCTTCTGTTTTTCCTCTTTCAGAGCACTCCAGCCTTGGCTCAGATATAAACTAATCAGGTGTGGACCCTCTGGTTTTGTTTCTTTTAACTGTGACTGGCTTAGGAAATGAGTGAGTATGGCTTAGGAAATCAATGGAGCTCATATACAAGCTGTAATGTAGCAGATTCCAATATAGATGTGACTTTTAGAAATATCATCTGTACTCTATCTTCAGTTAGGTAAAGAGGGTTTGTTTGGACTACCCATCCAAACAGAAGACATAGAAGAAGGTTTCTGTATTATCAGAGGCATTTGGTGTTGAAAGCTGAAAATGCGTGAATCATATTATTTTAGAATAAGGCTTAGGGAGTACCGAGCTGTTTGCTATCCTGAAGAGAATTCTGCCTGAAAAGAAAACTGCCTGAGAAGAATAGCAAGCTATAACAAAAATTTTTAAACACGAACATAATTTTTTGGAAATAAAATGCTGCCTATAATAGACCAACAACTAATGCCAGGATCCCAGCCTTTAACTGGTACCCATTTGGTAAACGTCTGCAAAGGAGTCTGCAAATAACACACAACCACTCTCTGCTGCCTGGAAGGAGCTAGAGGAAGCTGTGTCAAGGTAGCAAATTCCCCCCTCCACTGAGAGGCTCTCCCAGAGCCAGCACTGCCCAGCACACAGCTCAGGTCCCCTGGCTCACAGCCAGAACCAAGAGCCCACTGTGGCTGCCAATTCCCATCATGACGAGCACAACACAACCCCAGAGGTTTTAAGGTAATCTGGCCAGTAGAGCACTGCTCTGCCAAAGGGTGGTCTCCGAATCAATCACAGCCTTTGGCAAGTCTGTGGCCTGACAATTGAAACCAGACATGTTTTCAGTTCATTCTTTGGGTTACTACTGTTCTATGGTGATTTACAAGAGAGTGTGAGCTATGGCAATCTCTCACGCAACTTTAGATATTCCCTAAACGAATGCACATTTAGAAATCTCCTTGCTCTAAAACAATGCCTCATAAGAAAAGAATATTTAAAGAGAAACCATCCTTAAAAATAGGCCAAGCTGCCTTTCTTCAGCTTTCAAAATAGAGGCACCACTTTGCAAAACACAGTGCAACTAACTCCAGCAGCAACGAAATCAGAAACTAAAATATGCTCTTCCTGTGTGATACTCTCAAGTCCATGGTTCTGGGGGGCACTCAATTTTCTCATTTCTGTCCTAGTTTGAAATGCTTTCAGAAGGCCTGTTCACAAGACAAACAGCACAGGGTTTCTCAGTAGCAGACTGTATTGAATTACAAAATAAATAGGAGCAGAAGCAATATCAGCAGTAGCAGAACATTGCTATGTTAAATGTTTCTGTCTCATTTTAGACTAGTTCTAACTCAGCACTATTTTCAGCATTTACAGTTGTGAAATACTCTGGAGAAAAAAAAAAGGCATTATAGAGGTGCTGATGAAGTTTTAGTTTGTAAGGATTGCTGCCTGGAGTGTTCAACATGAGAGACTTCATACTGGACCTAATTTTATTTCCAGTCTTTCAAGGAAGATTTCTACATGTATTTGCAAATCTAGATTACTGAAAGTGTCAGAAGTGGTTCCAGAACTTGGCAGTCTCCACAGAACAGCCAAGTAGGAACTCTGTGGGACTGGGTCAGACAGCAAGTTCTATTTTAAATACAGGGCTGGTCTTGCTTCTCCTTTTACCTCTATTTGAGGGTTTTATCAGCCATTTTAGAAAGCAAGAGAGACTAGGAGTTGAATTGAGAGAGAAACTTCTCTCTAAATTTACATGTGGAAAAAAAAGAAGATGAAGGATGTTCTGAAGTGCTCTAGCAAGGCTTTACTGTGCTAAAATAAGGAAACAGTGCAGTAGGTGACCCATATAGAGGTTAAAGTCCATTAATATTTACCACCCAAACAGCTCACACAAACCAATTTAGTCATAAATTGAATTATGTCATGCATGCTTCTGGTGAACAATACTTCCTAAATAGTAGCCATGGTATTAAAGCAAACAGAACTATATTGGGAGAGGAAAACAATGGACTACAGCACGAGCTTGGGAACAGCAGATCAATTCTCAAATATTAGTTGCAAACCAAACCTTCCTGTAAATATGGGTGGCTTGTGCTGTCTTTAACCACAGCGATCTCCTTCCTTTTTGTGCCCCATTATTCAGGCTTGGTGGAGGTCTCTACGCTGATGGCCACACAGGTTTGGACACCCCCCTGACCCTTCCCAGCAGAACTGCTTTTTCATGGCACAATAGAAAAAATTTAGCCAAAATCCTTGCACTAGTCTTTGATCTTAGTAAGTCAGTACTAACCTGTCTGGGCTTGGCATCTCTTCACATCCACACAGGCAGCACTAACACTTTGGCAAGTAACCTGTACCAAAAATGAACCCTGAAAACCAAAGTGAAAGCACCTGTTCTCTTCATGGTACCTTTAATCCAGTATTAACTACAGTCACAGTGAGCCTGCATTGTTGAGAAAAGAAAAAAAAAGATAAAAAATTGGGTGGTGTTTTTTGTGGTTTGGTGGTTGTTTTTTCCAAGTAAAGGTCCATCTGCACAGTTCCACGGTTGCTGCAGATTTGGCCTGGAGCAGCCACACACAAGGCCCTGGGCCAGCAAGTGCTGGCTGACAGCTGCCTGCAGGGCACTGGGGACCCTCCAGGTGTTCTGCTGCTATTCTGCCTCTGTTCTGCTGCTATTTGAAAACCTGAAAGCTTTAGATTAATGCCCTAATGCTGTCACTGCCAACCCTTAAGCTTCTGCCTTGCCTCTGCAAAGTAAGAGAGACTGAGCCTGTTCAGTGGCACAGGAAATAACCAGAGCATGTGCATGAAGCTGTCAAAATAAAAAAATATGTGTACATTGCATTTTGATAACCTCTAAACATTATGTTTTATTAGGGCTTTTAAAGAAGATGTAGGAGAACTTTTGCAGAAGATTTTCAGCCTAGAGAGTTCTCATATAAAGGATAAATTGCTAAAAACCCACAATTCTGTTATGTTTTTGTATGTTGCTTTTGTAGCAAATAATAATGCAGTTTTCTTTTTGTGTAGTTTCCACCTTTAAGTTATACCAGCGTGCAAAGCACGTGTACAGTGAGGCTGCCAGAGTGCTGGAATTCCAGAAGATTTGCAGTGAAGCACCTGCCAATGCACTCCAGCTGCTGGGAGAATTAATGAAGCAGAGCCATATCAGCTGCAGGGAGATGTATGAGTGCAGCTGTCCTGAACTGGACCGCCTGGTCGACATCTGCCTGTAAGTTCTGACCACAAGGAAGAGTAATCGCCTGTGGAGAATACGGTTCGAATTGAGGAGAAAACATCACATCCTTGGCTATTGCAATCTTAAAATGAAAGTATTCTTGTCTCTTCTTACAAAATTAATCTCCTGCAGGGACATTACATGGTCAATTGTTTCCCTGCTGACATCTGTGTAATACTTTCAGATGAAAGCCACGGTTTATGGCTTTATTACAGATTTTGCTTTTGGACTGACTCATCGTCACAAGTGTTACGTTAGACTGTTGGCTACTCTTTTTTAAGTTGCAAAAGAAGTCATAAGTAGTTTTCTTAAAACATCATCTTACTTGTTCTATCTGAACTGCTACTTTTTCCTCTGTTTCTTAGAATTATAGCACCATAGAATGATTTGGGTTGGAAGGGTCCTTAAAGATCATCATGTTCCAACTCCCCTGCCATGGGCAGGGACACCCTGCACCAGACCAGGCTGCTCAGAGCCCCATCCAAACTGGCCTTGAACACTTCCAGGGATGGGGCATCCACAGTTTCTCTGGGCAACCTATTCCAGTGCCTCACAACTCTCATATGAAAGAATTTCTTTCCAATAGCTAATCTAAATCTACCTTTCTCATGTTTCTTAACCATTTCACTCCTGCTGCCACAGGAGTTCCAGGGCATAAATGAGCTGTTCTACAATCTTAGGTTGTCTTGGAATTATGATGAAATGTAGTGAAATGCCATTTGCATTTTTTCAATTAAAAAATAAGTTGTCCAGGGTATCAGATAGGTTGGACAGCATTTCACTGTTTAAGAAATAAGTGTGCTGTTACAGGGGTTGACATTCTGCTTCTCTCTGTGCTGTCTGAGCTTTCCACATATAATTAAGTCCCCATCTCTGCCTCAGCATTAATCTTTCAGCTGTGATCCCTTCCTAACTCAGTTTGGTCATGAGGAAACAATTGCAATTCCAAAGCACATTCTCTGAGTGCCATTTTGTCCCTTCTCTTCTCCCCCACACAGGTTGTTGTGGTATCAGGCTGTTGTTTCCATGGCTCTGCTACAGGGGACAATGAGATCTGGTACAATTGTGTGTTAATCCACAAAGTAAAAACAAGCACTTAGTACTCACATCCTACACAGCATTTCATCCCTCCAGCAGGGTCAGCATCGAACAACGGACACATTTCAGTCCTTCCTTATTTCTCTTTTTCTGGTATACCTAATCACAGGACAGACTACCTTTCATCTAAATCCAGTGCCTATAGAAGGAATTTAGTGGTTGGTGATCATTTTAACAGTGGCTGGGGGAAATAAACAGTTGCCCAGCTGGGCTATCCCTGCCTCTGCTCCAGCCACCCTGTCCCACCTGCTCCCCACAGTCCCATAATGGCTCCCTGGTGATGCCACCCTCCTAACTTGTGCCCCTAATTGTTCCTTCTTCTCCTTGGAGAAGGGTGTGCTTAGTTTGGGAAACAGCCCTAAGCCAGAGCATTATGGCCCTGCCAGAAGGGAAATGTTTGCAGGCCTGGGTCAAGAAATGTTGTTTCACTGTCTTTTAGAAGCAGATATCCCACCCTCTCTCTACATCTTTTCAGTCTTGAAGAAAATAAAGTTTCAATTTGAAGTTTAAAAAATTAAATAATTGATACCTTACCACCTTTAGAAATTAGTCTGGCTTAGAATGAAAATATTAATTTTACAAGCATGCAATTTGCCATATGTTTTTTTCTTCTGCACTCATGGATTTTTTAAATTGCAGTACCCATTTATCAGGTTTGTAAATCAATAGAGTATGAAACTGGATTATTTAGGTGGGTCTGATTTGTTTTGCAGACAAGATGGAATGTGTGCAAAAGTCAAAATGTCTTTCTGAGGCAGAAAGGTACAAACCTAAAAACTGAACAGAAGACTTCTGGACATTGACAGATTATTTTGCATGTGGGATACACGTGCTCTTTTGTGCTAAAACACAAAGCAACTGATAGCCACTGGACAGACTGATAGCAACTGAGCAGAACAAGTTTTGATTCTTCTCTTGGGACCCAGTCCAGGGTGTAACTCCCAGGCTGTGTTCAGTTTATTGTATCACATAGTGATCACATCATACAATAAGCTGTGACAGTCACTCAGCAGGACAGTTCCACCAGAGTTATCCCAGCTGCTCAAAGGGAACTGAATGTGCTGATCTGAATGTGAGAAGGGAGAACCATCTCCAGTGCCAGCTGGAGACAGAGACTGAGCTCTACTGAATTATCAAAGATCTTGGGCAACAAAGTCTTGATCCTGTGCAAGGCATTGGCATTGCCTGTTCTGAGGCACCACTGGCAGGGCAGGAGCCTTAAATTAACATCTGCATTGCTTTTGATACAGTAACTGGCTAGAGCTGGTGCCTCAGTCAGTGCCATCCAAAGAATGCACTTGGCAGACCTGAGGAACCCATTCTGACAGGGCCTGTTCTCAGAAAAGCTGGGAGGAAACTGTCCTGCCCTGGGCAGGGGACAACAAGCAGGTACAGCCTGGCCAGATGTGCTCTGCAGCATGGAGTTACCTGTGCCATGTTCCATTATACACAGAGTTACCTGTGCCATGTTCCATTATACACAGAATTACCTGTGCCATGTTCCATTATACACAGAGTTACCTGTGCCATGTTCCAGCAAACACAGTTACCTGTGCCATGTTCCATTATACACAGAGTTACCTGTGCCATGTTCCATTATACACAGAGTTACCTGTGCCATGTTCCATTATACACAGGGTTACCTGTGCCATGTTCCATTATACACAGAATTACCTGTGCCATGTTCCATTATACACAGAGTTACCTGTGCCATGTTCCATTATACACAGGGTTACCTGTGCCATGTTCCATTATACACAGAGTTACCTGTGCCATGTTCCATTATACACAGAGTTACCTGTGCCATGTTCCATTATACACAGAATTACCTGTGCCATGTTCCAGCAAACACAGTTACCTGTGCCATGTTCCATTATACACAGAGTTACCTGTGCCATGTTCCATTATACACAGAATTACCTGTGCCATGTCCCAGTAGAGCAGCGAGCATGGCAGTGACAGCCTCTGGCAGCAGGAAGCTCAGCACAGGAATGGAAATTGTGTCCCCCATTTGTGCTGAGCTCTGTGCTTCCATGGTGACACAGCTCCAGCCAGCTCAGGCAGGGGGACAGCCACAGCACCAAAAGGAAAGCAGCAGTTAGGATTTTTTCTAAATTAAATTAAAATTCATCGGAGCATTTCAGTTCCAGGGAGCAAAATATAAATAGTAAAGGAAAAAAGGGATGTGTGTGTGCCCGTGTTACATCAGATTTCTGATTTACCAGCAGAAGATCCCACAGTATATTGATGGCAGAGCTAAGTACCACAGTGGAGTGTCATTCACATGGAATGATTTCAAATTTATATATTAAAATTATTTCATCCAGATTTTTTGTATTGTATTCTTTGCACAGAAAAAAGTAATTTTTTTGTTCATTATTCTTTGCAGTCTTGTCCCATCAAGAATATTTCCTAAGAAATGCATCTTTCCTCTCTAGAATTTTAGTATTAAATCTTTTTCTGATTCAATAATTAGATTTCTAAAAGTGTATAGCTCTTCTGGATGAATGCAGCCTAAGCCACCATCTAATTTTTGGAAAAAAAGTCTTAACTTTTCTTAAGTTGTACATTAAAAAACCTAAAGAACATAAAATCACTAGTCACTCCAGGAAGACTTGGCTGATGTGATTATAGAAATGGTCAGGAACTACATAAATTACATTCTTTACTCACGATGATATACAGCCACCCTGTAACTTTCAAAAGCTTTTCCAAAAATACATTCCACAGAATTGCCTGAGTCTACTGCTGCTCTCTCCTTACAAGGTTTAAACTGTGAAGAATAATCTGCATATCCAGATGTTTTCTCTTTTGCCTAGATCTTTATGTTTTACTGTATAACCTCTGCCAAGAAAGAAAGGGATCCATACTTGCTGTGGTTTGTAGTGCTGAAAACTGTAACCATGAGTTGGTCAGTTATTTTTTTCATTTTGCAAAGACTGAAGACTTGTACTTTCTCTAACCCTCCTCATGCTCTTAGTAGCTGGTTTACCTGTTGGTCTTCTAAAGCAGGTAACACAGCAGATTACTAAACAGTTAAGGGACAAAAAATCTGATGTGAGCTCCTGAGTAAGTTAGGTACTCTTGAAAATCTCTCAGTCCTTAGTGTTGCACATAACTTACTTTCATTTTCTTACTCTCCATCTTTTGGTGCTATAAATCCTGATAATTTTTGTGTTCCCAGCCATGCCTCTTCCCTGACAGACAGATGAATCCTCTCTGACCGCTTGTAAAAGATACAGATTGTACATTACATCCACCTGGATGTAATGTACAATCTGTATTATGATAGCCAACACAATTCTGCCTTTTATCAAGACTCTTACCATTTCCACTGATAATTTTCTTAAAGCAGCAGAGCCTGCAGTCATGGCATAATTTGAAATTTCAACAAATCCAGAAACAGTTAAAGATGCTATCCAAATGCAAACTAAATTACAAAGCAGAATAAGCAAAATCCTCTCCATTTATGTATTTAAATCTTACTGTGTTAGCTCCATGCCTTCTGAAAAGCTACTTCATAATTTTAAGTATTTCAAATTAACAATATTGCTCTGGGGTTTTTTTACCTCTTAAAAGCACAATTATTTTTAAAATGGACTGCTACCATGTTTTGCCTGCTGTTTCCATATACCAAACTATGGGATTTCCTATTTACTCCCTCCTTTTATTCTTTTATTTTTCTTTCCTTTGCTGCACTACTCATATTTTTACTCATTTACACCCCCATAAGCTAATTCTCTTTATGTCCAGTGAAGACTGGAACAAGATACACAAACATTTCCAGAAGCAAAGGCTGGGACTGGGGGCTGAGTGCCCCAGGCCTGGAGTCCAGCCTCACGATCCTGCTCGCTGCCTTCCCTGGCCCCGCACTGCAGCACAGCCCAGCCACACACGGGGCCTTTCCCACACATGAAACCCACAGCTCCCACTGCGTGGGGCAGCTCCCCATCCACAGGATTGTCTGCTCACACTCCTCTTCAAAAAGATCCCAGTGCACAAGAGGAGTGTCTGGCCAGGAATCCCACTTTACAAGAGGGGTCCAGCTTAGTACTGAACTGATTAAAACTTTAATGAGGCAGTTTCAGACCTGTTCCAAAGAGAACTTCTTGTGTTTGATCTAGAAACCTCCCAGGTACCACATCTCCTGCAGACATAGAATTAGGTGCTCCCTCCTGGATCCATGTGGTACCAGGTACCTGGTTTTCAGATGGTGCAGCACTGCCCATCAGGTTCCTCAGCAGCCCCAGGTGGCTGCTATCACCACATTTGACACTGTTAAGCCACAGTATTTTGAAACACAGTGACTTCAGCTCTGCAACAGGCATATTTTCTGTCTACTTTATGCTTTATTTCTACTAAGTATTCGAAAATGACTCAGTAAAAATGAGGCATGAGCATGACCACAGAGAATTATGAAATCAATAAAAGGTTCAGAACAATTCTGAAGGGATTTCGGTTGCCTACCAAAATAAAAGCCAGACACCATCTGAAATACGAAGTTCTGTCTGAGGTAACAGACGAAATGAGTACAGACAATTGATTTAACAGACTCTGAAAAGTGGATTGGGCCTTATAAAGTCAATGGGAGTATCCTTATTGATTACAACTGATACTGGATTGGATCCTGCTCATTTTAGGAGGTTACTCCATGGACTAGAAACTACCGAAATTGCATCAGAGAATGAGTGGCTTACAGGAATAACAATAAGTAAAATAAAACACCAACAGGAAATGCAGAATGAACATAAAATCGAGTCAATATGAAGGGTGGCACCACACAGACACACTGAAGAAAGTGTTTCTGTTCAAGAAGAGATGTGTGTTTAGAATCAAACACATATGCAAGTACTTGCTTGAAATATGACCTAAACCTCTACTAACCCAGCACTACACCAGATTCATTTAACATAAAATGCACATAGGAAGAATTACACTCCAAATGAGCTGTCATTTTCCAATGCTATTCACATGATATTGTCTCTCCCTCTAACATATTCTAGGGCTGGTGAATCTCTCTATGCATGGCTATTGGAAACACATCAAAAGTATTTGTTTGTAAGTCAGATTATATCTCCCACAAGAATAAGATTTCAGATGAGTTTTCTAAATCTGACTGGTTCTTTTCTCATTAAGTTAGAAAAGCCCCAAAGTAACTCATTATATGGTCTTTTCCTACTTTTTTCAAGTAAAGATCAGGAACACAGGTAAGCAAACTACTGAAAACAGTGCTAAATTCTAACGAGATGGCATCTGAGTCTTGCAGTGTAACGGCATGGGATTTGCTCTAGGACATTTCTAGCAGGCCAGTGTCTTGAGGCTGGGAATGGTTTATATTTTGCATGTCATTTATTTGTCATTGTTCTTTCTGTTCACACTCCTCATTAAGAGCATTTTTTTCTTTTGGGACTACATTCATACTTTACCTCTACTGCTGTCAGTCTTAAGTTCTTGAGGTTCCTCTAAAGAGAGATACCCAACTATGTCCATTCAGCATAAACACAAGTTTATGTGAGTTTATTTATACAGAGTGCAGTGACTCTATGACTTTTTGAGAGTCTCTGAACTCTCCTTTTCTTGACTGGCATGCTCAGCAGTCATGCAGAAGCCTGTGAATCTTCAGCATGGTTCAGATCTGTCCTGGAAGAATAGAGCTATTTGTCTTTGCCACATTAGAAAATGGCTTGCATGCCTACATCCTGTGCAATTAGTTTATGAACCCTCTTTTGTTATTTTTGTCATGTATTTCTGTTTTCACTTCTGATGTCTTATGAATGTTGCTAACACAATTCCTTTCTTCTCCTGCTTTCTTCATCTCAGCTGTGCTGTGATCCCAAAAACAGCTGATGCTGAAGCTTTAGAAAACAAGGGGACTTTTGGAGCTGACAGAAATTACTATATTGCAGTTTAAGGCATCAGTACTTTTCTTTGGTCCAAAAGAGTAACTGCAAATTGCTGTAGTGTTACTTACAAGGAAGTGAACATCAGAAAAGTCTGATGACATGGGAATACTCAAAACACATCTGAGTTTTCTATAAAAATTTTATATATGACAAAGTACCTCTTTTTGGTTTATTTTACATGATTTTTTCCCCTGTTATTTTCTTTTAGGCAATTTGGGGCCATCGGGTCACGTCTGACTGGAGCTGGATGGGGTGGCTGCACTGTGTCAATGGTGCCTACTGACAAGCTGAACACTTTCCTAAAAAATGTAAAAAAAGCTTATTACCAAACGGATGGCCAAAGGTTAGCAGTGGAGAATAACAGTCTGTTTGCTACCAAACCTGGAAGAGGAGCTTTGGTTTTTGTTGAGGCCTAAAGAACGTAAAAATTTTAAAGCAACTATGTAGAGCATGTAGAACTGGCAGTACTTCCCATGCCACAGTACATGAATGCTTTTTTCTGGTTTGTATTGTAATGAGCAGTTGCTATTATCAAAATGTATTTCTGAAGAAGCAATTAAAAGAAAACTCTTTGATTATAAAAGTCTTTTTTTCCCCATATTAAATATATCTTTCAGTATAAATATTGATTTACTAAAACCTAATGACAGGGAAAACTGAAATTGAAATAAAGATGATGATTTGTTACAGTGTCTCTCTCTTCTTTTCCCATTACTGTATTAAAAGAGAGATGAGGTGTGCAATGAGCTGCCTCAGTGGAGGGAGGGTACCTTGCAGTGTTTGCAGGACTGTTCAATGCTTTTCCTCTTCAGGTCCTGGGCATTGTTTTTTTTTTTTTGGAGTGTTCTGTAAATAAGGAAGATTAAACTGAAGCATTCAAAAAATTGGAAGGGCCTTGCTAAACATTTGAAGTTTTCTCTTCTCCACAAGTAGGATAATTACTGTTGTAATTAATGATAATATTGGAGGAGCACCTGCAGGCCAAGTAAAGCATTAGGAATACATTATGTTGAGTAGGACTTTTCTCCTAGGGATGTTTCTTAGTGTCTTTGTGAAGGTATGAAAGTTTCAACAAAAATGAATGCTATTCATGAGCCGTATGATGTGACAACTTAAGTGAATGAGCAAATAATGAAGCAAATGGATTTTGAGTGATCCAAACACCAAACTCTCATGCTTGAGTCCCAGCTGTGCATCTACATCATAGAACATTTTCATTTTATGCAAAACTATTATAAAGGACTAAATATGATCTGCTGACCATGTAAAAGAACAATTAAAATGTAGAAGGAATAATTAATGAGAGAATTTACTGAGTTGTACTAAGCAAAAGTAAGTTCTAGGTAGGACCAAGGGAAAATGTCATTGACATTACTGACAAATTCTGACCTTGCTACCACTGTCTGCTCCTGCCATCTCCTATAACTGCTCTGGCAGTACAGACCCACAGTTCATAACCTGCCTCCTCAGCAGGAGAAATAGTTGTGATTGCAGAAAGGGCACTGTACATCAGGATCCCCCAAAGATGTCCTAACCCTGCTCCCAAGGGGAAAGTCAGGCTCCTGTGGCCTCTCTCTTGCACAAACTTCCACTTCTCTGCTCTCTCCAAAGAAAACCAAAGAGGAGATTTGGTTGTGTCACAGCCCTTGAAGCCATAAAAGACACAGCAAGAGTTGGCCCTGGGCACGTTTTTGTGATGCTAAGCACAAGTTAATGTCCAGAAGTCTGCATCAAATTAGAGATCTCTCAAATTTTCTGTACATTATCCATGCTAATTCAGGCCAAACCCAAATTCTCAGAAGCTCCTCATTCTGTGAGAAGACTCTGCCAAATCTGAGCACAGCAGATGAACGACAGCCAATGCAAACTATCAGATCTTTTCAGGAACCTCAGAGGGGAATGTCATAGCAGTAGTATCAGTAGAGAAGATCTCTTATTTCTGAAAACCAGGAAGAGTGGAAGAGAATGCTTGGGTCAAGTAAATCAAACACTCAAGAGGAAAAGGATGGGCTCTGGACACAAGGTGGGGAAATGAAAAGACGATTTGGAGGCAGGACAGTTACAAGGATGCATGTGAGAAGAGGAAAGCGAGGGAGAGGGGAAACAGTTCTGAACAATTGGCAGAATAATAAAATGGGCTAATCTTAAACATTCCCTATTGCCATCTTGGAAATTTATTACCTTATAATCAATTTGTAATGTAGTAGATATACTGTGCATTCAAGTAAACCTGTAGTTATAGGGCTCCCAAAAGTAAAAAAATCAGATAAGTATCTTCAACAATGTGTAAGATAACCACTGATATTTTAAAGAAAATATTGGTATTGCTTTGTTACCAACGTCCTAACAAAATACAGTCCTGAGCTTACTCCAGTGAGTTCCTATTTATTATCCTGTCATAAAAATGGAGTAGAATACAGTAAATACCAGTCCTTTCATTAAGATATTTGCATAAAACTTCAGTTCAGCTGGATTAATGGAAACAGTTATCAGCATATGAGCAAAATAAAAATATATTATGGGGGTTTTTTCTTCTTCTTTTTTAAATTGAGTATGACACACAAAGTCATAGGATCTTCCCCACAACACACAGGCTGCAGTACATTTCAAAATTTTTCTGACAATGAATCTTATAAATTATATTCTCATAAACAAAGAAAAGGAAACAAATATAAAAGGAAGACAGTATAAAAGAATAAAACCAAAAGTTCTAAACTTCTGATGAATCTCTTTCCCAGTAAGAGTTAGACCTAATTTCCATGGAAAAACCTACAGAATTCGATTCATATAAAAAGGGCAGTCAGGCATTTTTACTTATTGACTATATACAGGAAGTAAATGTTTCTTTTTAAACAAACAAAAAATGCATTTGGGGTTTTGTTTTGCTTGCTTTTTAAACCTTTAAACACATGTTTCTACATAATGGTAAAACTCCCCAGTGATCAGAGCATGACAATGACAAGGGGCAAAGGTATTACAAGTATCTCTAACAATAAAGCAAGAAGATTTTGATGAAAATGTCTAAGTCTAGCGCAGCAACTCACGAGCATATTGCCTAAGCAAGGCTTTCCAGGTCTGTATTTTTAGTGGCTTTTCCTGACTACCTTTTAAAAATCTCTTCTATAGCTAAAGTAATGCTGATTGGTAAATCAGATCATAGAATTGTTTAGGTTGGAGAAGACCTCTGAGACCATCAAGTCCAACCATTGTGCCAGCACTGACAAGTGCACCACAAACCATGTCCCCAAGTGCCACATCAACACAGCCTTTAAATCCCTCCAGGGATCACCACCACTGCCCTGGGCAGGCTGTTTCAGTGCTTCACAATCCTTGCCATGACGAACTTTTTCCAAATATCCAATCTAAACCTCCTCTGGTGAAACTGCTGATCAATGATGGAATGGCTCAGTGAGCCCTTCCACCAGGTCTCTCAGTTCCCGTGGATCCATCCAGCCCCAGAAACTTGTGAGTGTTGAAGCCAAGTGGCAGTGAAATCTCCCCTTGGATTACAGGTGCCTCATTCTATCCCTGTTCCTCTCCTCCTGCTCAGGGGGTTTGGTACCCTGAGAACAACTGCTCTTACTATTAATGCCTTCTCCGCCTCAGTCCTTCAGTGCCTCAGGCGTATCCTCATCCTTTGTCACTATGTTACCCCCTGCACCCAATAAAGGTTAGCACAAGCTATGATTATCCATGGAGTGTAATTTTATCTTAAGGCCTGACTGTAATTCATTCAATCAGGACTTTAATCTTAGTGTGCAGTAAATGGGCTCTAAACATTTCCAAAAAGGATCTGGAATGGAGACACTGTTAGACATCTGGGTGCAGCATCATTGCCTGGTGCCATATTAATACCCTGTATTAGGGTAATCCCACTGACATGTATGTCTTCATCACTGCACTTGCTGACTGTGTCTCTTACACACGAACATGCTCATCCTCTGAAATAGCACGAGAGCAATTTTACCATTCACTCGACAGGAGGGGATCAGGACCATGCATTTGACGTTTGCTGTCTTGGACACAGCACACACAGAGACATATGGCAACCTAATATATAATAATTACTTACATAACATTTTTGGGAATATTGGTTTCTAGTTAATACGATCTGAATGCCAACTTTTATTTTAGCAACTGCTGAGTACTCAGTCAGTATAATCCTTTTGAAATTCCTCTCCAAGTTCATGTGTCTCTTTAATAACATCTTGATATGTTGGAGCAACTGCTGCACTACAGCTTCAGTCAAGTGAAAGACTTGTATTTTCAGCTAACTACGAAGCTTATTTGTGTGCTTAATCCCAACTAGGTCTAGTTAAAGATACACAACATTCACAAGAGTATCCTGTTCTAAAAAAGGATACCTTGCAAATTATATCTGTTCTGGGCAGAACTGAAGTAGTGCTCCCCAATTCTTGTCATTATAAGGTTCATCAACAAAAACAACCTCTATAAAAGAACTCATACTAAAAAGTACCAGTAGCATGAAAACTGGACTGGTAAGACAATGTCATGAAACCTGTGCTATGAATCATGCAGCACATTAAATTGAGATGGAAGGCTAGGAATTGATAAGAGAGGCTAGTTCACAGTGCAGAAAGGACTACAGTGAGGAATGTAAAACTAACTGCAAATTGCTCACTGTGATACAGATTTGCCCTGTTTGACAGATTTTCCCAGTGCACAGAGAACTGGCAGAGGAAACACTGCCAAGCAATGCTGCCGACACATCTGTCCTCCCTCAGCTCTGCAGTTCAGCCTGTTCTTTCATCAAATGCTCTTCTGAGATTCAATATCATAAAATAGAGACAAGATATTTAATTCTGGTAATGATCTTATCTCTCATACTGTGCTTTTGGACTTGTGTCACAAGTAACTGAGATTCTCTGAGACACGACAGACCACAGCCTCCTGTGACAGCCCTGAGTTCACAGAGACAGCTGTCCCTGTGCCCAGGGTGGGCAGTGCCCAGCCTGCTCCTCTGCAGCCTCCCTGCAGTGCTGCCCTGCCTTGGACAGCTGGAGCTGCTACATTGGTGACCGCTGCTTCCTGAGCACGTGGTTTTCCTCTGGTCACCTACGATTGTCTGACCAGTGAAACCTGTGGGTGAAGGTTCTCTGGAGCTCCTGAAGCCTCTGCAGGTTTGGTCACTGATTTCAGTATAATGTGGATTTACCCAGCCCATACTCCCTGCAAACAGTTCAAGCTGTACAATAACAAATAGTGAGGGTTTGCACATAGAGCTAACGTGCCCAAATCTCACAAGTAACTTAAGGCACTCATACCAAATTCATCACAGGTGTCAGACCTAGCAATGGAAAAACTGTAGACAAGGAAAAAATGTTTAAGCTTCAGAATGAGAAGACATTAAGGAGCTTTCAGAATTAATTGATCCTTAAGATGCTTGAGATTGATTTCCAATAGGAGTGCTTCCTGTAGAAGCAACAAACTGAGGAGGATTCATACAAAAGCACTGAGTATACTTATAGGATTTTAAGTCTAATGCATTTTGAGAACTGCTATCATCTTCTAAACATTTTTTTTGTTGGCCAAAATTACACATTAATATTAAAAGGGAAAAAAAAATATCTTCCCACTAAAGCACAACTTTCTGCACTTGGCACACGAGAATCAAATAAATCAATAAAGATTAGATGTACTTCAGACTGAAACACAACTAGTGCCCAAGCAG